TCCCCCACCTGGGCCGCAAGCCCCTCAGGGGGGCAGTGACGGGAAGCCCCCTCCCGCGCCGACGCCTGCTGCAGACGGCAGCTCTGCCCTTCGCTTCACCCCGAGTTGGCGCCGTGAAGGTGGCGGCCCCATCAGCCCCAACCGGCTGAGGACGATGGGAGCTGCAGTCCCACCCCGCCTGCTCGGCGCCAGCCGGGCAAGGACCCTGCCAGCGCCGCCTCCCAAACGACGAAAGTCATTCAAGGCGCCTCCGACGTACCCCGCAGGACTGATACGACCAACGGCATCGTCGCCGACATCAGCTCCCGCAACCGTGAAGCAAAGACACAAACCGGAACACCCACACCAGCCATCGTATGCCGGCCGTGAAAACCTTCGACAATACACAAACCGCAAACACAACCCAACACCAAATGGCCGAACACACGCGACGCCTCCGGCTTATATAGAAAGAGGAAGTGGGCGGAGCCACTGAGGAGTGCGCGCGCAGCCTCGACGGAAAGGCTCGAGGAGCAAAAAGCTCCTGTTTCCCCAGCCTTTTTTTTTAAAACTTAAATCACAGAGGGAAGGAAATACCGTATAAAGCATGCTGGCTGAGGAATTCTGGGAGTTGAAGTCCACACAGCTTAAAGTGGCTGAGGTTGAGAAACACTGTCTTCTTGCAGAGTCCTTCCCCGGCTTCATTCCTGATCTGTGTTGAGACTAAATTCCAGCATATTTTGGCAACTGTCATTCTACGTATCTTGGACAGATGCCAGTTCTGGGCTGGAAGACTTTGCTTAACCACAACTCCCAGCATCACTCATTATCAGCCCTCTTAGGTGGGGCTGCTGGGGGCTATAGTTCTGCAACAGCTGGGGCGTTCCATGTCCGATAGGGCTTGGAAAATGTACTCTCCTAGAAAGCAGCAAAGGGCTGCATGCACCAGAAGGTTCCCCATAAGGGCTGAAGTGGCGTTTCAGTGTGAAAGGGAGGTGGGGAAGCTGGTGGGGCTTTGGGATGAGTAAGGGGAGATGGGAATGTGGCATTCAAAGCTTTTCAAGAGGCACTTGAGAAAGGAGGTTGGGTTGGCTGCTCTTGAAACTCACAGCAGGAAAAGGCCCAATTGTTTGAAAAAAAGGAGATTCCAGCAGAGCGCTTAAGCAGAGAAACAGGTGGGAGGCCACCTCTCAGTTTCGCGGAGTGTTTCTCAAACCTGCAAACTTTAAGATTTGTGGACTTCAACTCCCAGAATTCCTCAGCCAGCATGCTGGCTGAGGAATTCTGGGAGCTTAAGTTGCCAAGGTTGAGAAACACTGGTTTAGTGCTTTTGCCGAGCAAGGGGTGGACTAGATGACCTAGTCCCTTCCACTTCCTACGTTTTATGGCCCTGCCCTCACTTGCGCTTAACCACAATGCAGTCATGTCCCAATACCAGCAGCATCCCCCTTGTCCCCTGATACAGCCTTGAGATAATGAAAGGTACTTGTAAGGCTTAGTAGATTCCAGCTGAGCAGAGGTTGAGCTACATGCTCTCCAGGGTACCTCCCAGTTCATACATTATACCTTCTAGAGTCAATGAATCTGCACCGTCCTGGTTGTGGAGCTGGGGAGAGCCAGGCACAGGGCTGCTCTCCTTCTTTTGGGCCAAGAATGTCGATCCAGGCATTCTCCTGCCGTGGTGTGCAACAGGGCTGCAAAACTACACAGCCGGTGCCCTGCCAGGCAATAGTTTGGAACGGAGGATGGATATGCTAGTGCATTTCAAATGCCAGAAAGGGAGTCATGCAGAAGAGAGACAGGACCAATTATCTTACCCTCAAAACACAGAAGAGGTGGCCTGTCACAAGAAGGAACTCTTGGTTAAATGTTAAACACCCCCCCCACACACACAGTAAGAAGTTAATGACCTGAGGTGGGGGGCTCCCCTTCATTGCAGGTGTTCAAAGAGAAGATGAACAGCCATATGGCCGCGGTGCTTTAATAAGGATTCCTACATTGCATTTGGTGGCCTCAAGAGTCCCTTCTGGTTTTCTATGACTTTGTAGAGCAATGTTCTTCTGCACCCGCTGGAAACTGGGCGAGCACCCACAAGAGCACCACCCTATTATGGAGTTTCAGTGGCCGTTTCCTGAAGCTGCTGGGCCTCATCCTCTTTCGCCTTTGTTTGGGAAGAGGAGCGTCCTCTGGTACAGGTCAGAGATCAGGACATGCATCAGTTCAGAATTTGAGTCTTGCCTGTGGCTAAAATGACCAACTCCTTTTGTCTCTGGTGGAGGAAGAGAAACAGTAAGACAAAAGCTTCCCTGAAGTGTGGGGTTCAGAAACAATCACCTCCTAATTAAAGAAGACATGGTCCTGTGTAGAAATTCTATTTTATTACTAATTTAGAATTCAAAAACAATACAATGCAGGCAACTTAAATCTGTCTGACTTGGCTACTCACTAACATCCTCCCTTTCTACACTTTGGATGTCCTGCACAATGCTGTCAGAATTTGCTCCATAATTAGTTTTTTAAAGTTGTGCACAGCTTCTCAGATGGGAAAAAAAATTGTGGGCGAGCAAAAGTGGTCATAAGGCCACCCACATTCTGTTCTTTCCATCTGAGAAGCTGTGCACATCTTTAAAAAATTAAAGCTTTTTTTTTTTTAAAGAAAGAAATGCAGTGCACACAAAGAGAAAATGGTAGTTTCTGCCTTCAGAGTGACAGAGATGATTCACAAGCAGAAATATGCAAGCAGAAATAATTTCCTGGGAAGTAACTCAAGATTATTGCAGGGAATTGATTTCTTGCCCTAAATTCATTAGAGATTCATTAGAGATGCAAAGCACTAGGGGTTTCCAGGTGGGGTAACCTTTTGACACTTAAAATCCAAATACTCCCCTCCCCCCGCAGAAAGTGAGCACGCTAGCCAGAAGCGTGCAGCGCAGCTGTATAAATGCTCAGAATGCATGCACCGGCTATGTTTGGGAAAAACATGGCTTCAACAAACAGATTAAAGTGAAAATTGCCCTCCAGGGAATTAGCAGAAAAGGAGTTGTTGCAATGGGTCTCAATGGCAGTACGTGCCTACTGACTCCCCCAGCCCACACTCCTGCGTCAGACAGATGATGTAAAGGGGTTCCAGGCATTTTGACGGTCCAAACGTCTTCTACCAAGTTCCAATACGGAAACCAATGGACCAGGAAAACTAAATACCTATCCAGACGATTTATCCCCAGTACTTCAGCTGCCAGCTCTTACATTTTTTATGCAGTTCAATGTCCAGTATCATTTATAATTAAAAAATGGCAACCAAAAGGTGTAGGGAAGGCTGAAGTGGAAAGACAGAGCAAATGGCATCAACAGAGAACAGAAGTGTGTGTGTGTGTGGGGGGGGATCTCTGGCCCTTCAGATGATTAACTACAAGTCCCAGCACCCCCAAGAAGCATAGTTAATGGGAAGGGAGGCTGGGAGTTAGAGTTCTGCAACCTCTGCTCCCCAACCTTGCAACAGAGGGAGGCTAGGAAGTGGGAGGTTCGGCCCTCCAGGTATATAGAAACTACAAGTCCCAGCATTCCCAATCCTAGCTTTAGGATTCAGAACGCCCATTCTCCTCATCAAAACCTGTTGGGCTTTGGAGAACAGTGCTGCTAGCAGACTTCTTCTGCAGCCGGAATAAAGCCTCGAGTTGCTTCCTCTTCTCCTTGGCTCTCAGGATGGTGGTCTTGAAGAGCCAGAGATAGAAGTTGATGGCCGAGGGGCTGTCGTCATTCCCCGGAATTGGGTAGGTGATGAGGGAGGGGTTGCAGTTGGTATCCACCACAGCCACCGTGGGGATGTTCATCTTGGCTGCATCCCGGATGGCCAAGTGAGGCTCAAAGACGTTGTTGAAAGTATTGAGAAAGATGAGGAGGTCTGGCAGCCGGATCCCAGCCCTGTACTGGATGGGGGCGTTTGTCAGCAAGCCACCCTGCCAGTAGCGTGTGTGGGCAAACTCCCCACACTCCTTGGCTACGGTCTCCACACGGTGCGAAGTCTGCCGATGGCGACTGACAAAGAGGATGATGCCTTTGCGGAAGGCGATGTGGGCTGTGAAATTGAGGGCCAGCTGGAGATGCTTCGCCGTCTGCTCCAGGTCGATGATGTCTTGCTCCAGGCGGCAGCCAAAGAGATATGGCGCCATGAACCTGTGCAGGAAATAGGCAGGCAACCCTGAGTCTGAAGCCGTTCCCAAGCCAGATAGCTAGGCAAGGAGGGCTACAGGCCAAAGGGGCCAATTTGAGGATGCTCCCCCGTGAAAGAGGAGATGGCTGTAACTGTAGTGGAACGAGGGCTTGGCCTTGAGGGACTGGAGGAAGAGCCGCTACCAAGACAACAGTCAGATAAAAGAAGTCTGAGTCTGGGGCAGGAATGTAACCCGAGAAAGAGTCTTAGGCAGGACCCTCCCTAGTTTTCACAAAGACAAAGGCGGGGGGGGAGGAAGCACATTCAGACTTACATGATTCCGTTGCTATAATAAAAGTAATATTGGCCTGCATGACTTTGGTTTCCTAGTCTGGTCTTCCCTGACCACGGAGGGACAGACTTTCAGTAGTTTTACTAGATCCTCCTAGTCCACCATCCAGCTGCAGAATACAAAGCCTGATTAAGGACAACCGTCTCATATTCCTATTTTACAGGCCAGGAATGCTGAGCCTTTGCAGAGGGGCCAAGTCAACCAGACAGACACAAAAACCTAAGCAATGCTGTGCGGATCGGACCCCTGGCCCATCTAGTCCAGCAGCCTGTTCTCATAGTGGCCATGCTTCACTGAATTAGCCAGCTGCTCAGGTTCACATAATTGAAACTGAACCTCAGACTAACCTCCAGATGACTAACATCTCAGCCCCCAAATACCCAACTACACTTTATCTTGGTGATGGGGGGGGACGGGGGCAAAAAACTCATCTGCCCACCTACTGTGTGTTGAAAGTCCTAAACCTGAATCTCAGGAAAATCTACGGACAATCCTAGTTAGAAACACAGGAAAGCTGCCAGCAAACAGTGCGAGCGATGCTTAGCTCCAGGTTCTGGCTCAGAGGCCGGATTCAAACCACACGCCAGTCTAGGCTGCAACGGGGTTGGGCCAAGATTGTGGGGATGCGGGTTCTAAATCTGCCCGCTCTCCCTTAGCTCATCACGGGGTTTGTCTCTCCGAGCCTACCCTAAACTCGCAACCGCGTTTGGCGACCCGGGCCGAGGGCCAGCATTTTGCTCCGTCCGGCCCAAGGCGGCCTGCAAGGCCCGGGAAGGACTGACCTGTGCCGGCTGCTGCTCTTGTGGCCGAGGTGGACGCGAGCTTCGAAGAGGTCCCGCACGGAGAAGAGCTCCTGCAGGTTGAAG